AGGGAGCTCATAGTCTGAAGAACAATATAAAAGCAAAATAAACTTACATTTCCATTTCGATTCTCTCTTATTTCATGCCCTCTAGAGTAATTTTCTTTACCCTAAGTCAATAATAGAGTTCAGTGATTTTGTTGTTGTTGTTCTATTTTCTCAAGCTAAATATATCCATGACTGTTCTAGAAACGAACAAAACAGCTAAAATCTGTAGGCCAAAGATTCTGCAGTGTGCCAAGACCCGTTCACATGTGGAGAATGGGTTGATGGTGGGTCCTGATGTCCAGGTGTACAACCATGCTCTCAAAAGCTGCTCAAGCTACTGTCCAGAACCCTCCAGGAGTGCTCAGGAGGGGTGCTGGGCCCAGCACGCTGAGCTGCCCAGCCCAGAACGCTGAATGCTGGGAATTTCTCACCTGCCCTCTAGACTGCTTGAGCATGAGGGTGGCAGCTTCTGCATAATGCTTATGATCATATTAGAGATAGTTTGATATTCTTTAACTCTCTGAGAATAATTACAAATTATAACTTAGAGTGTATTGTTTAAGACATTTGACTTTCAGAAACATTTTCAAAGCTGCATAATATATCATCGTAAGGATATCCATATCCTAATTCCACAACTCTAAATGGTACATATTCTTTCCACGTTACAAAGAGGAAAATTGAGGCTCAGAGAGACTATATCCAAGGCCACAGAGTATCAGTGGGAAGTGAAGTGCCAATATAAGTCTGTATGATCCCAAATTCATGCTATTTCTACTCCAACACACTGTCACTCAAAGATGACACAAAGTTTAACATCAGGGAGCTCAAAGCCTAGCACTCTACACAATGAGACAGAAAGAAAAGGGTATAATGTTTCAATGGTATACAATGAGGACACAGTCACATGTTTCTTATGTAATTAGGCAAAAAGGATGTTTTTGAAAAGAAAATATAAGTATCACATGAAAGGCAAGGATTAGATCAGAAAAAGAAAAGATTGAGAGAAACTGGAAAAGACATTTAGAAAAGATGGTATTTTCAGTGTTGAAAATAAATATGACTTTGACATCCAGAACTGGGATAGGACACATCAGGCAGGTCAAAGAGCAAAAACAGACACTAAAAAGGGAAAATACAAGGCATTTATATAGAATAGCAAATAGTTCAGACCGGTAACGCAGTGGTTCCTATATTTCCCTGATGAGACTTCCAGGGAATGCATCAAAAGGACAGCTTCCTGGGCTCCTCCCTTGGAGACTCTGATTCAGTATTGCTAAGATGGAGCCTAGGAATTTGATTTTTTTTCAAGCACTATAAGCGATTTTTTTCAGCAAGGAAGTTTAAGAAGTATTAGGCTAAAAGACAGAGTTGGTGAGTGGGAGTCATAAAAGTAGAGGCTTAAAATAATAGGCCAAGGGGTTTGGCCTTATTTCTACAGTCAACAGAGAGTAACTGTAACATTTTAATGAGGCTTCAGCACGACTATTCTCACAGTAATGAGTGGAAGGGAAAGAAGAGAAAACAGATACGACACTGGTCTATAGACGATGGCAGCAGCCCAGGCTAGAGATAATGAAGGCCTGAACAAGGGTAGGAGCAAAATAAGAGGAAAAAATAGATTGGAAATACATCACAGATGAAAAATTGGCACAATGGTGCACCTAACTGGCTGTGCAGAGATAAAATAAGAAAAAAGAACTAAATCTAAAATTTGTCTTTAGGGGATATTGATATCAAGGGAAAGAATAGAAAGAGAAGTCACAGAACAGGAATAAATTTGAAAAGTAAAGGTAATGAATTAAGCCATGGCGAGGGCCTGGGTAACTAGTGGGGTATTCAAATAGCGAGATGCCCAGTGGGCAGCTGGGGAAAAGCAGAGAAGCCAGCCTGGAGAGAGATTTGAGAGTCAGGAACAAACATTTGATAGCTTTATCACACACCATTCCCCAGGAGAGTCAGATGAGAGAAATATGATGACACAATACAAGGGTTATACTACTCATTTGCTAATGGACTGTGGGGCTGCAATTTTCTTGGCAAAGAGGAAAGAATTTACTTGGTGTTTCTACTGTTTGAAGTGTTTTTCAGGTTTAAGAGCAAATGTAAATAGCAAGCTAACACTATCTATGGTGGTATCCCTTTTTTAAAAAAGATTTTTATTGGGGAATTGGGGGAAGGGGAACAGACAAGTTGCTGTCGTTTTGCTTCACTGGCCCAAGTTGGCACCATCATTGCGCACTTCCCAGGCGAGGCAGATTAGTAGCCAGCTTCTGGACGGCCGCTCACGGCGGCTGCTGGCCGCTCACGGTAGCCCATGGCAACCCACTGCCACAGGGGCTGCAGCCTACGCCGTCACTGGCAACTCACAGCAGCCCAGCTCCAGGTCGAGCTGTTGTTCAGCATCTTAGCTGTAGAGGGCAGTGTCACTGGCCCTCATATGTGGGATGGGAACTGGAGCCCTCTGATGTCCTAGGCCAGCTCTTAACCAATGAGCCACTAGGCCGGCCCTGTGCTGGTATCCTTTCAACGTTATAGCAAACATAAATTGCTTCTGGAATATCGAGTTCACTATATTCAGTTAAACTTATCATTTTAATAAAAAACTGCGCAGAGCCACCTTCCACCCCAGGATGCTGTGCTACCAGTGAAATCTCTCGTCTGCCTTTAGATGGCTTGGGTTTGAAGTAAGCAGCTTCTGCAGCATTCAAAATCATACTAGAGACTTAAATAGCTATAGAAGCTTATGTTCAAATTTCTGATTCCACCATCTCCTAATTACATGGTCTTGGACACGCAACTTAATCTCTCTGAGCACTGGTTTCTTCATTTATAAAATAGGAATAATACCACCCATGTCTCATGGTTGTTATAGAGATTACATAAAATAAATATTTAGAACAGGTAGCAGATAAAAAAATAAATCTTTAAAATGCAGTATAATAAGTGCTTAGAAGGCTACAGACAGATTGCCACTGAAAGAAATTAAGCTCCACCTGGGTGGGAGTTGGGTGGGGGAGGGAGGTGGAGGGAGTCAGGAGTCGATAGTGGAGCTAAATTTTAAAGGAAAAAAACAAAATTAAGGCCAAATGAAGGAGAAAGCACACTAAAGGCATAAGGCAAAACGGGGGTGGGAGGGCTGTAGGGAGGGCATGAGTAGGAAAGGAAACCTGACATCTTTAGAAAACATCAATGAAAGGGGATCTTGGCAATTCCCAGATCTAATATTTGTGGTTTTTCCATTTATAAATACACCCACAGGATCATGACATACAGTAAATCTTTCATTTTAATGAGGCACAAATTTGAATCATGAATAATGCAACATTAGTACACTGAATCTAAAAAGGGCGACTTAGGGCCGGCCGAGTGGCTCAGTTGGTTAAGAGCTCGCTCAAGAGTTTGAGCTCTGAGCAACAGTGGTTTGAGTCCAGCCCGAGCTGAGCAGCCGCTGAGCTGCCAACAGGTAGCAGGATGGCTCAGCTTAAAAAAAAAAATGTAAAAAGGGTGACTTTATCGAGGAGATAGAGATACTGGAGATGTTGATAAGGAATAGGGAAAGGAAGTATTTATGTCATGATGAATTTAATTTTGACACCTAAAGTAGAGGTGTTCCCTAAAGGCGTCTCAGAAGGAGGGATAAGACACCAGAAGAAATATTCGGTCTTGTCTCCTAGTTCAGAATGTTAGTATCCAGGTGATCACTGAATCATGGTATGAAATCGATTGCTCAAGGATACTGAAGTCAGCAAGAAAAAGATGATGACTGAAATATTCCCTATACATACCCATTTTAACTCAGTCTTAATGCAAGGGGTGCAAATAGAGTGGCTACTATATGCCCAACATTCACCTAACAAAACCATGCTTGATGGTGAGGGCAGCAAAGCACATGGATAAGGAGGGGAGACAAGGGTAACAATAATGTGCTTCTAAGTCAGTGCTGTCATTAGTGTCGGTAAGAGCCAGGTGACTATGTTAAGCAAGGAAGGCACTGCTAGGCCATAGAGTTTTAATCACTATAATAAAGACTTTGAACCTCATTCTTTATATCTCAGTGTTCTCTCATTTTCAAGAAAGGAAGACATTAGAATCTTCGGGAAGAAAAGCCCTTTAGATGATTTTCTTGGAATATACTTATCAGAATCTCACTGCTCTAAACAATGGCGGGGCACTGAAGATGCTTCAGCAACGACATTGTGATGAAAGGGATTTTGACATAGCCCACACTTAATGGCCTATGGGAAGCACTGGTGGGGGAAAAGAACAGGAGGCAATGTATAATCCAAAGACATGGATTTTATAGTGAGATGGACATAGGTTCAAATCCCAGATCTAGCTACATACTGGTTCTATGACTTTGAGCAAATTATACCCTATCTATACCTTAATTTATTCATGGGCAAGATGGGGATAATAATAATAATAATACCTATCTTAAAGGGCTGTGGTGAGAATTGATGAAATTAATAAATATACAGTAAAACCTTGGATTGCGAGTAACTTGGTTTGTGAGTGTTCCGCAAGAAGAGCAAACATTTCTAATACATTTTAACGTGGTAAACGAGCAATGTCTTGCAATACAAGTAGTTCGTTTCTGGAATGAATTATGTTCGCAAACCAAGGTATTAATGTATATAAATAATATTAAAATGAATTTAAGAGCTTTGATCTGTCACTGTTTATTATAATTATCATCTAGCAAACCAAATAAACAAATAGCAATTAAAATCTGAATCACAAAGTTGAATTATTCTTTCACTCTAGTTCTGACTTAAAAAAAACAAAAAACCCCCAGGTTAAAAAAAAAAATCAAACTACAATTTTAAGAGGGCAAATCAGCTCAGAAGTTGCAAATATTACTGACCACAAATCATTTTATGAAATAGTTCAATGAATGTTTCCTGAATGTGTACCATGTAAAACATGCTGTGCCATATACAATAGGAGATACAAAATAAGTGAGATATAGACCCTAATTTATTTAATAATTCAGAACACAGGGCAAATTAAAGTTTTACCTGACTAACTCGATTTACTTCCTCCTCTTCTTCCTCAGCTTCCTCTCCAAATGAAAGTAAGCTAAAATTTCTAATCAGAAAAAGGAAAAAAGAATGAAAGAAAGAAAATTAGGAAGAAAAAGTTAAACAAAACTTATAAATATCCTATTTTCAAAAAAAAATAGAATTTATAAGAAGAAACACATTCTGACTATTTAACAATAGACAATATTACTTAGTACTCAGTAGAAATATACTAAGTGTATATCTTCAGCATAATGTTAAGGTTTTGGTCTCAGACCACAGATGTTTCACATATTAGATTAAACTAATAACCAAATATCCATCCTGAGTACTACCATTAATATAAATATACCAAGTCAAGCAGGACAGAAATAATTAAGCTTTTGATATTTATAAAAACTAGTTTGCAAAATGAACAATTTTGAAAAACTAATAAATAAATAGCCCCAACAGCACTACAAATGGGGAACAATTAATCTAGTATTTGCCAAAATGTGGCTTAATATTTTAAAATTAAGACGTTACACAAAATTGTCAAATAAAAATATGTAAGCAATATACCTAACTAAAAAAATAACCCATCGGGAGAAAAAAACTGTCTTCTATGAGCCTTCAAACCAAAGATATCACAAGGAAGATAAACAATAAGTTATTAAAACCCTCTCTCAAATACTGGAAAAATAAACAAGATTTGGCAAAAAAAGAGGAACTTTTATTTCAAAACCTAGATGCAATCAATGACTACCCATCATCCCTCATATATTTACTATGAATTAAAAACAAAATAAAAAAACCCAATTTTGGGGCTTGTTGTCAAGATAAACTGTAGTGATGAAATATTGTCCTGGAACACAGTGAGAGTGACCTTTCACCCAGAGATAAATTATTCAAAACATATGAATCAAAAAATAAAAGGAAATCAAATATATAGCTATATAAGAAGTTATTTTGCCACAATACATCAACTGCTTATTAAAGTGTCTGCCTCATATCTGACAGTTTATAAAAGTAACTTATTTTTATATTGTAGGGTATCATGGAAAGAAATGAATATATATTGAATACCTATATAGTATTCAACTGGGCATTTTCAAATTCCCCTTCTCATTTAATCTTCATAACAACCAGGTATTGTATTTTTTAAAACTTCCATTGTATAGGATGGGGAAACTAAAGGCCAAAAAGATTAATAAACTTGGCTTCTTAGTAATTGGGTTAGGCAGGATTATACTTAGAACTGTCTGAATCTAACACTTATAAGTACAATAAAATCCCTACTATGCATGCTACAATTCAATAAAAGAATAAGTTAAAATCAAACTCTCTGATATCTATTTTAATAAAGCATACAAATTAATAATTTAAAAAATACTGTTCACAAAATACTGGAACTTATTAAAAAAGGCATTTCTATTTTTTTGAAAACTAGCCTAAGGAAATAACACAGAATACAGAAACAGCTTTATGCTTAAAAATATTTATAACAGGATTATTTTTAATAGTGCCAAAAAACGGAGTGAAAGTTATGTAAACATACAGTCATTATATCCTTCATACTTTATTTTCCAAGTTCCTTATACTGAGCATATATTAATTGAAAAACAAGTAAAAAACAAAGAAAAATTTTCAATAACTAATTTATATAAATAATTGCTATAGTAATCATATTTAATTATTAACACAGATTTTTATATGGACATCTGAGACAATACTTCTTTAGCTTAAGTTTAAGTTATATACTGTAGTATCTGAATATAAGAAATGGGCATTAAAAAAAAAATACACACACACACACACACACACACACACATACACACACACACACTACACACACATTCAACATTTAGATATCTCCCTGGCCCAAGCTGGCCTCCCCTCACCAGTAAACAATCTTTACAAAAGGAAATTAAATGAACTAAATGAATCAGTGTTGCTTTTCAAGCTGAAGAAAACTCTATTATGATTACTTTGTGCCTTTCGGTTTCAATTTCTTTATTTCCTCTTCTGGTTTCTCTTTTTTTGGCTTTTTTATGTCTCTTGGAATGATGTCATCAAAAGGATTAAACAACACCTATGAAAATAAATGTTTTGAAAATATTATTCCATTTCTTAAATTTCACAAAAATTACAACCAGTATTTCATTGCATTGACAATAGTATCTACATAAATTTTTTTCCTCATATAACCATCGTAAGTATAGTGAACATATATCACAGAGTGCTTCCACTTACATGGCCTCACTGGATTCTCCCAATAATCCTATGTGCTATTAATTACAGTATATTTTACCCTTATTTTACAAAAGGGAAAAATATTCAAGAAAAGTGAATACATGGTAAGAGAGTCAAAATCAGTTGTTTTGACTCCAAATCAAATGCTGTCAAGGACTGTCCTCAATGGCTTCCTCAATGAAGGATAACTCTTAATTAACCTAGGAAGTCACTTCATTGGGTTAAATACACCTAAGAGTCGAGCTTTTCATTCATTATCAGCTAAAGTTTCATCTTTGTATTGAAAACCTTCAATTTAAAAAAAAAATTCTTAATCAGAAACTGAGCGTAAATTACAGAGATAAAATCTGAGTTGTGATGCTAATTTAGTATACAGCCTGTATTGGATAGTTTAAAAATACTACTAATAAATTATTCTTATATGACAATTTGAGTGCTGCATTTCATGATAATCATGCTCCTACCTCACAACATTTTATTTTGTGTGGATTACGCGGTCTTTCTTCATCATCAATGTCTACTTCCGTCAGCCGCAGCATGTTGTATACTGTATCCCCTGTAATCTATCAAATAAAAGCAAAAACTTAATTGTAAATTATCACATTCATTCTTTGAAATAAGGGAACACTTTTGAAAATATTTTTTAAGTAATTAAAAGGGAATTTCATATTGCTACATAAGAGCATATGCATTAAATAATGCAAATAAAGCAACTTCAACTTAAGAGGTAAAAGGACAGATATAGGTCAATCCCTCAATAAAATTTTGCGGTAATTTTCAATGTATACTTAATATCATCTTTTATTAAAAATTAAAATATAATGCCAAATAGCCTCCTACTGAATGACAACTTTGCATTCGAACATCATAAACAGATTTAGACTTCAGAATAGGGTAGAACAAGCAATTAACAACAACAATGTGGCAAGTGCTTTGCAGATATTATATCAGTTAATTCTCACAAACATCCTAAAAGTAGGTACTATCATTATCTCCTTTCTCAAGATGAGAAAATTGAGGTTTGAAGAAGTTAAAGAGCCAAAAGTGATGGCCTTTCAGAATTCTAATCACTATGTTATATGTTATCTCTAATGCATTAGGTATATAACATCAACTGTAAGCAAAGTTCAGAATGGCAACCTGAACCTCATTTTATTGTACACTTTTATTTACTTTAAATAATAGGAAGTAAAATCTATGAACATCAGACCACCTGTGTTGAAGTGGCTCAAATGTGCTAATGCACATTTCTTAACCCACGTTGTTAAGTATTAAGTAACAATAGTGCATTGCATGTTTTTAGCATGACTTCATTCATTCAACATTTCTTAAGAGTTTTAAAATAATACCAATTTTACAGTTGTGCTAAGTTTGTTCCCTTTCATCATCACAAAATCCAATTTTGCCTATGATACAGGGAAACCATTCTTACTGAACCAGCAGAGGGAGCTGAAACACTAGTGATGTCTAAAACGCCTAAGACAAAACATAGAGGACTATATTTATGACAAGAGAGAAAGAAAAGAAAACCTTCAGAATCCTTGTAAAAAAACAAACAAACAAACAAAAAACTGTTGAAAATTCTATGGAACTAACATTACCTGATATGTTAAATGTAAGCAGGATAATAGGTACTATTCAAAGTAATACATCAGGTAAAAAGTTTTAATGTTAATAACTTCCACTTTAAACTTAAGGGAATTCATTAACAAAATAAATTTTAAACTACTAAATTTTATTACCTAAGTGTCTTTCTAAAAACATATAAACAGTACCAGCTAAGTGACATAGTAGCTAATACCATTAGTATGATTTTAGAAAAAAGAATATTTTGAAGTCAGAACCAATGGCTTATTTGAAACACACACACAAAATTCAGGTGGCCCGTTATAGTTTATTATAACAGGAATATATTCCATTACTTTTGGAAATAAATAATTATCCTAGGGAATAGTTTTATGAAGGCAGCTTAGAAAAGTTGATCATATGTACCATTGAAGCCTAAGATAATGGACACAAACCTTTCCAAAGATGGTGTGCTTATTGTTAAGTTCATCTGCTCGACCCAGTGTGAAGAAAAACTGGCTGCCATTATCATGAGGACCAGCGTTTGCCATGGCAACCAGTCCTCTCCGATTAAAACGCAACCGTGAATGGAATTCATCCTGAAGCATAAAAAAGAAAAGATTGAGTGAATGACCTCAGTTATAAAGCCCTTCATATTCAGCTAACCAGCAAGGTCCCATACAAGTTTTAATCAAAACAGCTGAAGTTTCCTTTAACTGATTTTCAAGTATAATCAAATCCAGTATACTATTCCTTCAATACTATTACACTTCACTAGCCTGTATTTTCTAAATATACTCAGCTACAAATTTAGCCTATTTTGTGGAAAGCTGCCTACTTACACAGAGAAAGGGTACTCAAAGGAGAATGGATTTCTAAGAATTATTCCCCTATTCTTTCCATCCCTCAAAGTCATCTAAGCTTTTAGAACTTTCTACTTTTATTCCAAGAAAGCTACCTTTGAATCATTGTGGAGTCTTGAACCATTACCCCTCCCCACCCCATTCTAAATATCATAAAACAATTGCTTTCTTCTTCTTTTTTTAATTTAAGGAATCTACTATGATTGTGTTATGGGTTTTACTATGTTTTTAAAGTCCTAAGTTGAATCTTCTCTGAACTGGTACTGGTCCCATTTGCCAGTTTTCAAGAGAGCAGGAGCAAACCTTTCTAAGGTGGTTTTCTTGCTATGGTACAGCTACATGACATATACATCAGTCTCTTAGTTAATAGAATTTCTTTCCAGACCTGATACTGGACTCGTTTATAATACAGCCATGATATGTAATCAATACTTTTCATAAAGGAAGTTACTTTCCTTAATAAATAATTCTCAAGAGATTTAAACTCAAAGGATCATTGCTCTGTACACTGTATTTAAAATAACATAATTGAAAAACTTAACAGGACAACTATGTTGCCTTAACAAATTAAGCAAAAATCTCAATTTAGAAAGACACTGTCAAAAAGAGCTACTCTGTTACACCAAATAACAGAATAAAGGAATGCTTCCTTCTAGATGGAGGCTCTGAAATCATAAGGCATCTCAATTTGGTAAAACATAAATATAGTTTAACAGTGACACTTGAGAATTTTTTGTAACCATTCCACATTTTCTAAAGCTATTATCTGGAAATTAAAGCAAACAGTTCAAGTATTTTTCTCAAGAATCATACAGTGGCCCAGTAAAAAATTAAAGGAAACTCAAGACACTTCATTCCATGAGTATAAACACAAAGACTTCAAAAATGCCCATATTTTAAGAGCTGTTAATATTTACTCATTCAAAGAACATGATACTGGTAAATAATCCAACTTTTAGCGTTTACTTGAACCCACTTTTATTCTTACTACCTTAACCATGAGAATAACTTTTTTTTTCTTTTTAGATCTATCTAAATCACTGACCTATCCTTGATTAATATTCACACCTTTTCCTAACATTTTTTATGTTGCTTCTTTCTTCTTTTCCCCTTGTGATTTTCCATTATGGCATGCATTTTATGTTACAGAGATCTACTGTGCAAAATTTAGAATGAAGTTTTTAAAAGAATGAAGTCTGCTATGGAATGAATTGTATCTCCCCTGCTAAGTCATATGTTGAAGCCCTAAGCCCCAATGCGACTGACTGTATTGCAGACAGAACACGTAAGAAGATAAGAAGAGTTAAACGAGGTCGTAAGGGTGAAGCCCTGATCCAATAGGGCTCACGCTCTTCTAAGAAGAGGAAGAGACACCACAGCTCTCTCTTCTGCTATGTGCAAACACAGCACGAAGGCAGCCATCTGCGAGCCAGGAAGAGAACCTTCTCCAGGAACTGAATGTCACCCCCTTGATCTTGGACTTCCTATCTCCAGCACTGCAAGAAATAAGTTCCTGTCGTTTAAGCCACCCATCATTGGTATTTTGTTATAGCGGTCCAACCAGCTTAATACAAAGTCCACATTGTGTTAAATAAAATGTTTTAAAATAATATGGTACATGCAATGTTCTAAAAATGTTTTATTACAGCGTTGCAGAGATACATACAGTCAGATATCAGGAAATATGTTCCATAATCACTCTCTTTGTTTTCTTTTGACTCACATTTTCCACACGACTACCTTTAGCTCCACCTGAATTCAATCTATTGGGTTGTCGGAAAAGTCATGACGTAATTTTTCTGTTGTTCATTGCAAAAATGCGTCATGATTTTCTGACAACCCAATAGCATAACATTTGGCAATAAGACAACTTAGAAAGAATGCTTGATATATTAAGTGCTACTCTTATACCTACCTGTATAATTAATTCTAAATGTGTGAGAAACACATGATTTTGTGGACAAATGTAAATGCATTTTCTTCTGGTGGGGCATAATCATTTTTGAATAAGCAATCCAAGCTGACTTGTAAATAAATGATAATAAGCATTCGGCCTCACCTTGAATGGAGCTCCATAGATAGACTCTCCACCAGCCCCTGTACCAGTAGGATCTCCCCCTTGGACTATAAAACCAGGGACAACTCGATGAAAAATTGTGTTGTCGTAATAAGCTGAAAAAATAAAAATAGTTTATCAAAGTCTAAAACAAAGCGTATCTATGTTACGAGAGTTAATACAAATAGAGTCACAAGAGTTTTCCCCGCAGGGTGTTAAATAGGCTCCTAACCCAAAACCTTTCTTTCCTACTTATTATAAAATATCATCTGAAAACAGCACATTTCTATACAGGAACCATGGTGGCAGTTGTTTTTTATTTAATTCCATGATTCTCTCAAACTCTGGATTACAGTTTTCAAAATAAAAACTAGAGGAGTTTGGTATAGGTAAGAGGTTCTCAACTGGGGGAAGAAGGGACAACAATTTTGTTTCCTAGCGGATGCCTTTTAATATCTAGAAATATATGGTTGTCTCACATGGGAGATGCTACTGGCATCTCGTGAGTAGAGGTCAGGGATGATAGTAAACATCCTACAAAGCACAGGACAAACACCAAAAAGAATTACTGACCCCAAATGTCAACAGTGCCAAGGTGGAGAAACCCTGGTAGAGATGAATGCCTTATTTCCTAATTCTTCCTCTTCTCCCCATCAAAAATTAATTTACACAAACAATATACAAACCCCAAATAAATCAAAATTACTCACTGATTATAGGTATAGCACCCTCAATGCACCCTTCCAAGAAACTTTCAATAAATACAATAATCAACATAATATATAATTGAGTCCAACTAGACTTTCAATAAGTTTCTTAAATGATTGAAAGAAATTATTTATATTTACATATAAATATATTATTTGGAAGCCATAAACATACAAGAGAGGTCATACATAATCTGCTGATAGCACTCATTATCTGAAACCTAGAATCATTAGGGAGGAGCTCAATCACAAGAGGAGAAAGCTGGGATGGCAGAAACATGGCATCTCAGTGAGGTGAAGCATGAGCAAAGAACGGCGGGGGTGGAAGGGCAAGAATTAGGGTGAGGTCAACTTTAATGTTTTTACCTAAATTCTAAAAGTCACATTCAAATCTGAATATAAAACATACCCCAGTCTATATCAGAAAATGAAAATAATCCCTTAGGCCCATTATATACAGTCAATCAACATTTTGAGAGGCATACGATCAGAATTGCTTTTTCAAAAGATCACTCAAAATCCCAGTATGGAGAATGGACGGGGAAGTGACCCGACTGGAGAGAGGGAGGGAGGGAGAGAAAGAGAGAGAGAGAGGAACAAGTGTTGTCTTAAGGGTTAAAACATGACTATGGCTTACGTGAGATGCACAGACTCCAGAATTCTCTAGAAAGCAGGAGCTATGAGACTTAGATATTTATTAGATGTGAGGGAAGGGATCATCAAAGAGGTCTTTATTACTTGTGCTTTCACATTTTAAAATTACCTATTGATCCCTTTTTCCTATTTCTTAAGTCTTTCAGTGATACTGGCTTTTTACTTTAAACTTTGCTTTTTTTTTTTTTAGCTGAGCCATCCTGCCACCTGTTGGCAGCTCATCGGCAGCTCAGCTCGGGTGGGACTCAAACCGCTGTTGCTCAAAGCTCACACTCTTGAGCGAGCTCTTAACCAACTGAGCCACTCGGCCGGCCTTAAACTTCTCTTTTTTATTTTCCTAATTATACTCTTGTTCGATGAATGAAATTATTATAATACTATATGTATTGAATAGGATTTTTCTATAATTCTCTACACCATAATGTTGTATACTATTAAGGCTAGAATTTCAACTTTCCACAAAATTTCCATATCTACTATTTTTACTTCCTTGCAATTTATTAATAATCACTGTTGAAGTATGAATTTACAATTGTCTTTCTAGCTTACCATGTGCTATAATAGATTTGCTGCTTGCAATGTTTGACTTTCTTCTTAAATTGTTATGGGCCATTCCCATAAGTAATTTTAAAGAAAGAGCACTCGTCTGAAACTAATAAAAAAGAATAATAATAATTTTAAAAAAAGAAAAAGAAAGAGCGCTCGCTTTGGCAGCACATATAATTTTAAAGAAAGAGGTTTTATCATGTCATTATGCATATTCATAGTATTCTCCTGAATTTTCTCCACTACTGAAAAAGAAATTGACAAATATCTCAATATGAAATGAAGTTTGTATTTGGCTCCTCTGGTTCTGGTATTAGTCACTATATTTTTATTTCTGACTGTATAATGAATGGGTATTGTGATACAGTTTCACTAATTATATTTCTGCCCAAGTACATATAAAAATTTATATTTGCATTTTTAAATAATTTATATGTTTTTCTTCTTCTAGAATCCTGTGTTTCATGTTTAATTTTGTAAATATTATCATGAACAATTCTTCACTTAAAAACTCCTTTTGTGATTGGTCTGCCCATTTATTTTAGCCTGTTTTTTCCCTAACAGGTATTTTAATTTTGTAAAGATATTTCTTTTAACCTCTTAATATATACTTATGTTTGTTACTTATAAAGAGTTATTAAACTATTGTTAAAGGAAGTAGGGGATAAAATATATAACTGACCAAGCATGGACTTTAAAGAGAGAAGGCTGAGCTAAAATAGAAGCAAAAAGGTTAAGAGTTACATAAAGTATAAAAAATTTGGTTTTCTTACCTACTTCTCTTTCTACTCCCCACTTTGTTTTGCAGACCTAAAATTTGCTCCTTCCTCATACTTTAGAAGAACTAATAAAATTATCAAAGCTAACAAGCTTCCCTTTCCATCTCTTGTATCTTTTTTAACCTACCTTTTAAACTTACAATTATTTAAAATTTTCACTCATTTTTAAATGTTCACCTAACTGTCCTGCAAAGACCTATAATCCAAGATTAAGTGTGTATAATTATACATCTTTTGTTTTAGTAATAACTAAAAACTTCCCTCCTGACACATACTGTGTGATCTCATTTATATGTAGAGTCCAAAAGAGTTAAACTCATAGAACCAGAGAGTAGAATGGTGGTTGCTGGGGGTGGGGGAGATGTTGATCAAAAGGTACAACTTTTCAATTATAAGTTGCGTAAGCTCTGGGAATCCAATGTACAGCATGGTGAATACAGTTAATAATACTGTATTGTACACTTGAAATTTGCTAAGAGAGTAGATCTCAAGTGTTCTTACAACACACACACACAGAAATAAATAAAAAAAAGGTAACTATGTAATGTGATGGATATGTTACTAAACTTGATTGTGGTAATCACTTCACACTGTGTATATATATATATATATATATATATATATATATATATATATACACACTAAATCATCACATTGTACACCTTTAGAAAAATCATGTTATACAACCTAAATATGTACAACTTTTATTTGTCAATCATACCTCAATGAAGCAGAAAAAAAAAACCAAGAAAAAACCCCCACAAAAACCAAGAGCAAGAACTTGCTCTAACCGTGAACACCATTTTAGTTGAGAGGCAAATATGAGGTGGTGCTCCCACTTCTTTGTTTTCATTCGTCTACTTTTTAATTCTGAAATCATTCCTTTTTAAAATTTTAATTTTGACATGTTACAAGATCTAGAAATATCATGATTTCTCAAATAAATAAATCATACATAAATGAATCAGAGTCAGGAAATTAAAATGGGGTTCTCTAAATTGTATTTTTAAAACCTTGACTTTATTCATTTAGGAATATCTTCATTTAAATTAGTTTACTTGGGGTTCTTGTTAGCCTTTGCAATAATAATTCTCTCATTTGTTCAATTAAGAGAATTGCTTGAATTATTTTTCTTATTATTTTCATATTCTTTTTTTCTATCTCCTTGTATTCTTATAAATAGGGGAATAATTTTTTGTTATTGTAATTAAGTTTCATCATCACCTAACTTAAGAACCTTCTTTCTTCTTCATGGTCATATTATATCCAGATGTTTTCTGTTTTTCCCATTCCCCTAGTCATGGGTTGTAATTTACCATTCATTCGTTTTAATGTTTTTATACTTTTACTCTTCTACTGTAAAATTTGAGCTTTTGATTTCTCAAAACTTCTTTCCAGAAACAAGTCTGACTTATGTGTCTACTGTGCTTCTCTGTTGACAGTTATTTGAGGATTCTCTGACTGAACTACCTACCTGTCTGACTCAATTTCCTTCCTGCCTGACATAGCAATTATCAATGATGGTCTTTGCAGATGTCTTTTTTTTCTTTTTTGGCAGTTTTTGTCTGTTTGTTTGTTTTTGGTCTGGGTATGTTTATTCCTTAAACCTCTCCCTGGTAGTTATCTATCTGTCTAATTATCTATTTGGAGAGCTTTTACTATACCCTACTACTGGTGATTTTGAATTCTCTTTCACATCTTGTTTTTGACTCAAAATGCTATTTTCTGATATCCTGATTAACCATCGTCTGTCTCTAAAAATCAAATATAACTTAATAGGACAATGATTTGCCACCACTGGAGATATTCGAAACCATATGCCATGTCTTCTAAAAGCCAACAAGTTACAAAAGTGTTTGGAACGTGTAGCTCTATGAGGGAATATTCTGAAGGGGAAAACACTCAAGTGGACGTATAATTCTGTAAAGTCTGTTAAAAAGAAAAATTGTTACTTTATGATTCATACATGAAAAAATACTAGAGACATTGATGATAACATCACTGAATGCTGGACGGAAGGCTTCGTGGAAAAACTGGAACTTTGAACAGACATTAAAAAGTGGGCAGACTTGAAGAGAAATAAAGGGAAAAGAAAGTATTCCAAAAAGAAAGCTGAAACTATGAGGAGATTGAGGATATAAAGGAGGTCTGAGGATATGCGTGAAAGTGAGAATTGGAAGGAACTGCTCAGGTAATACAAATAGTCGTCAACTAAAACTATGTGGTTATTTAGTGCAATGAAAAATAAAGCTGGAAAGCTGGGAAGCCAAGCAGCCTGAAGATTCAACTTATGAATAAATAAGAGGTGAGACAGAGGAAGACCAGGTAAAAGGCAATTACGATCATGTAGGTGAAAATCAAGGTAGTCTGGGGAAGAAACTGGTAAATTTGGTTTTGTGCTGGTTTAGTTGTAGCTGACAGTGGCAGTTTCAAGTAGAAAAGTCCACTAGGCAATTATGTATGTAAATTAGATCTAAGAAGAGAAGAAAGACTGGGATTTTCAATTTGATAGTCATTAGGGTGGAAGTAACAACTGAAGAGTAAAGACAACAGATAACTAGTGACAACCTTAAGGAATACCCATATTTAGAGGATGAAAGAAAGAAGTGGAACACAGCCAAGGGACCCAAAAGGATCAATGTATTATTTGGTGAGATACATTTCTCTGTTAAAGATATAGAGATTAATTTGGGGAAAATTTTTTATCGCCTTTCTCCATTTCCTGATACATAGCTCCACACCGTATTTCTCATAGGCGCACTCCTGTCATTCATTACTACTACTTAACACCACTCTTCAATGCTGTAGAAAACTACAAATAAACCACAGTTTATTTGTAAGTGAACAAAATTTCCCCTACAGATTAAAACTCAAGATTTAAGATTACCTTCCAAACAAAGCTGAATGAAATTTCTGCAAGCTTTAGGAGCTTCTTTGGACCACAATTCTATGTCAATATCTCCAGCTGTAGTTTTCAATAAAACCTGTGGAAAGAATATAATAACATCATTATATCAAATTATCATTTGCTTGATAATCAGCTGAATAGCTTATCCACTTGAAGCATTCACTAATGAGTTTTCAATTTTAAGACAAAAATTAGAAACTTTGCTTGGCTTTTGTTTTTATGCTCAAAAAACTTCAAATATTCAGTACAAGTCATACATTTATATTTTTCAAATACTATTTGCAGAAATAATTTAGGATTTAAGAAAAAATAGCATATACCATTTTTTTATCACAGAAAAAAACCTCATTCATTTAAAAATAATTTGAACTTGTTTTAATCAAGAAAGTTTCCCATGCATTTCTTCCAATAAAATTGGTGTTGCAAATTAAGAAATTAAAGAACAATGAATGCATGAAATTGTGCCACTAAGACAATTTTACCATTAGCCTTTTACGTATAAGCACTCTACTTTCTGATTCAAAATCATGCCAGTCCTATTTACAAGGGAACATTCTTAATCTAATTCTGGGTTGTATATTACTAAATGGTCTGTCTTAAAATCATCATCTACAGTAAATGGAATCTTTTGATGGCCTCCTTTCTACCACCTCATGAAGGTGGTTACTCCTTGGTGCAACCAATTATCCTGCAACAACCAGAACCCCTATTGAGACCACAGGAGGAAACAGCTGATAACTGCCTTATTAATAACCAAAAAGAATGTTAGGCTCTAAATTTGAACACTGCAGGAGTCCAACTTCTCTAGTATCTCTTTTTCTCCTGCAGTGTACCAAAGTAGATCAGTGTCCATCAGTGATCATTGGGCAATGATTTGTAACCGTCAAAATCATTTAGAATGCTCTTGCAAGTGAAGGGAACGCAGTTTGACTATGTATTTAAAAACATGAGGCTGATTCTCTGGGAAATCAGTATCATTAAGTCAGTCATAGTTTATTTTCCAAAACTCCTTTGCCTAATTTCCACAAATTTTTTGAAACTGTAAAAACGTTTAAAATCATTCAGTTAAGTCCCCACCTTATACAGATGCCCCAAAGAAGTTATAAATTGCCTGGAGCTTGTTAATAGCAAAGCAGGAATAGCATTTCTTTCTGCTCCGTCCTCATCCAGTGTACTTTTGCTACAATTGCCTTTCAATTTCTGTTTCAGAAGTCCAGATTATATTGTCATAATGCATATAATATTAATACATTTATTGTATCTTTTTGGGCTTTTACTAGCTACATAGTTCTTTTATAACTATTCTTTAATAACCACGGGGTGAAGGAGGTGAAAATATCTATATTATGGGGCTTTTAAATTGGCTTCCTTAACTCTTAAAGAAATATAAAATAACTAGAAATGTAAATATGCATAATTTTATCAATCCATTACACTTCCTCTACAGAAAGAAGAGAACATTGGCTGAGTGCCTTCCATGTGTCAGCTTCTGTGCGAAACACTTTACATATCTTGTCTCATTTAATCTTCACCTACAAGGTAATTCTCATTACTCCCATTTCACTTACGAAGAAACAGAGACTCAGATAAAGTAACTTTACCCAGAGGCTGCCTGGTTGCAAAGCCCATGCATTTTCTATACCACCATACTGCCCCCACAAAGCTCTCCATAAATTCCATACTCTACTGGAAAAACATACTCCATCAAGCTCTAGGGTCCTGCCACATGTCTCAAAAGAAATCCCCAGCTTACCCTGGTCACAACGGATTGGAACAGAGAACAGCGCCTAAATCAAAAGTAATCATATATTGGCTGGCCATGAGAAAGGCTTTTAACTAGGCTTGGCATAAAACAATGCCCAAAAGAGATAATCCGTATCTTTTATGGTAGGTGACAAACCAACCCAACTGGATTCTCATTCTCCTGGGAAGTATGCATTTGGGATGCTAACCGAGAGGCTGAGTAACTCCCTCTCCCTTAGACTGCACCAGGAACAATGCTGTGTAACACCCTCTGGTTTTCCATGAGGCCTGATGTACATCCCAATCTTAAAAGTACAGTATACCTAAAGAGACAATGTCCTGTCCTACCTCATTATCCCCTCGTACACTTAAAATAAAGCATGATTATTTAAGGGGACCTAGGCATGTCTTCTCTCCCTTGCAATTCTAAAGCAGTGCTCTCCAAGCTTTGTATGAGGGTGCATCACTGTCAGCAAAGAAGAAAAAAGGGGTGGGAAGGGAAGTAAGGATCTGGAGGACACACGGAGAAAATATGTATATTAAAATACATGTAGTACTATATTACTCTAGCATTATAAGAGTCAGAATAAAAAATGTAAAGGATTACATAAAAACACTATACTAGTGGTACAGAGAACCTTTTTAATAGCTTTATTGAGCTATAACTCACATATCAAACAATTTACCCTTTGAGTGGTTTTTAGTATAATCCACAATTACACAACCATCACCACTATCTATTTCCAGAACATTTCAACACCCAAAAAAGAAATCCTGTACCCATTAGGAGTCACTCCCTATTTACTCCTACTCCCAACCCCTGGCAATCACTAATCTACTTTCTGTCTCTATGGATTTGCTCATTGAACATTTCATAGAAATGGAATCATACTATGTGTGCTCTTTTGTGTCTGGCTTCTTTCACTTAGTATAATGTCGCTTTCAAATTGTAGAGGCCCATCTTCTGGTTCTATGCGCTTAGTTTTTAAATAGCTTGAAAATCAAAATGCCATAATATTCTTACTGATAAATATGTCAAGGCACAATATATATTTAAGACAAAGTTTACCATTAACAATAAAAAATAGAAAACCACACTTCAAGTGATTTTCATAATAATTTCTAATTTTTCACAGGTTTCAGCTCTACCATTTTCTTACGATTTGCTTATGTTTACATTATTAATATTATCAGCAGTAAGAAACTGTGAGGGCTGGTTTAGTTAATCTAAATACCATGGAATGTAAATCCATTTAGTGGAGCAGTAGGAAAAATTACATCATAATATGTAAAAAGTGATTTGAGGCCGGCAGAGTGGCTCAGTTGGTTAAGAGCGCGAGCTCTGAGCAACAGCGTCGCCAGTTCTTTTCCCACATGGGCCAGTGAGCTGCGCCCAAGCTGAGCTGCCACTGAGCTGCCAACAGGTGGCAGAATGGCTGAGCTGGTGAGAGGGCTGCTCCTAACAACAAGGTTGCCAGTTCGACTCCCACATGGGATGTGGGCTATGCCCCCTGGCAACTAAGATTGAACACGGCACCTTGAGCTGAGCTGCCCTGAGCTGCCCACGGGTGGCCGGATGGTGACTGGACTTGGAGCTGAGCTAGCTGCGCCCTCCACAATTAAGATTGAAGGACAACAACTTGGCTGTTCCCCTTCCCCAATTCCCCAACACTGTTCCCCTTCTCCAATTCCCCAATAAAATCTTTAAAACAAAAAAAGTGATTGAATGAGTAGTTGAATTTATATATTCCTTTTTATATAAAAAAATATTGCATTTAAACAAATAAAGGAGAAAATAAATACAAACGGAAATATGTAGATTTTCTTTCTGCACTTCATGAATGGTTTTGCACATTCCCTGAAGTGTACACTCACTGGTTTAGAAACCACTACTCTAACAACAAACTAATGCATCGTCCTTTCCTCTACAGGCTCTGGAGTCAGGTTGCCCAAATTTAAACATTGACCCTTCCACTTAAGAAGGGTAAGGTAGCTTCATTACCTTGGGCATGACGTCTAACATTTCTGTGACTCGATTTCCTTATTTAAAAACAGGAATAATAATAACTACATATGTTTGCTGTGACGACAAAATGAGTATTATACTTAGATCACTTAGAACAGTACAGACGAATAGTAAATGCTCAAAAAATGGTAGTTATTATTGTTGCAACTATTATTCTTATACAATTTTTTGGACACAGGCCACTTATTCCTACTAAAAAGGATGTGCGTGTGGTTGGGTAACCTGGCTTACCAGGGTTTCTTGAACTTTTCACTGATAAGCTACTGAATTAAAAAAGAAAGCACTTGGCTCCCTCCTCCTTTGGCCATACATTCCTACTGGCCATCATTATTTCGGCAGGTTGTCAGTAGCATCTTTTGTTAAAGCTTCCAAACAAGGCAATATTTTGATAATAAAATGTTTCTTAAGAATAAATATAACATATGTTAATATACGATTTAGATTAAATGATTATAATATATGGAAATTTAATCTTCAGTAGATAAGGAAATTTCTATCAAATGTTACATTTCTAGGCCTCATCTTCTGAGGTCAAAGTTATAGCATAACACAGCAAAACACAGCACATTTATGGACAATCACTAGGGTATCAACCAGTGATGTAATGTGTCAATTACTTCCCAGGTGATACTATATATACTCTTTAAAGGGAGGAATTTTGTCCCATTTATTCTGGATAACTCTACTTCTTTGCAGTACTTAACATAGCATTCGACATTATAAGCACTAAACAAACATTGATTGAGCAAACTTGTTATTACATCTGCTTTAAATTCTCTCCAGACCAAATTTCTTGCCATGTTCTCTCTCTATGGTACAGAACTTTAAAGCTTCAATATGTTCAGTCAGCCTTATGCTGGAAAAAGTCCCAAATTGCTTTTGAAGTAAGACTTGGGCTATGACTGACATTCTCCCTCAGCCCAATTGTGTGCAGAAAGGACAGTATTTATCATAGTTTACATACACTTATTTGCATAATTATTTGGTCAGTGTATATTTCACTCAACTGACTCCATGAAAATAGGGATAACGCCTCCAATAGATGATTGGATAAAGAAGGTGTGGTATTTATACACAATGGAATACTATTCTGCTATAAGAAAAGATGAAATAGTGCCATTTGTGACAACATGGATGGATCTTGAGATTATTACACTCAGCGAAATAAGTCAGATAGAAAAACTTGAGAACCATGTGATTTCACTGATATGTGGTACATAAAACTGAAAACAACAAAGGAACAAGACACACAAATGAAGAACCAAAAACTCATAGACAGAGACAATTGTTTAGTGGTTACCAGAGGAGGAGGAGGGTGGGGAATGATAGATGAGGATAAAAGGGATCAAATATATGGTGATGGAAGAACTGACTCTGGGTGGTGAGCACACAACATGATTAATAGAAGATGTATTGCAGAATTGTACACTTGAAACTTATGTAACTTTACTAACAATTGTCACCCCAATAAACTTTAATTTAAAAAGAAAAAAAATAGGTACAATGCTGTTTTTATTTTCCACTATATCCCTAAAACCTAGCATAGAACCTGGCATGTGCTAGGTGCTCAATAAATAGTATTTGTTGAATTACAGTTCAGTCTCCTGTCTCCTGTTCAGACATGTTTTGTTAAAGGTTTTCATCTTTATGACCATGTCAAATCTTCTTCCACAATTAAGTCTGCCCTTGACCAGCAGCAGTATAACTTCAAAGTCACTGATGCTTAATACTTTACACAAGTTAAGAGAAAATCAGTATTAATTCATCCATTCATTCATTCAGTACATATTTGAACTTGTCCTGCCATCTGTCAAACACCATTCTAGATGGTTGTCTCTGCCTGCATAGTGCTTGCATTCCATGTGGGGGGAGAAGAGGAGGAGGAAGATATAATAAGCAATAAATAATAAGTACTATAGAAGAAACTAAAGAGGTTAAGGGGCCTAGGGAATGCTGAGATGCAGGACATGAATGAGGTTTGCTATTTTATAGACAGTAGAAAGGAAAGACCTCTCTGCTAAGGTGACATTTGAGCATCCAAAGAGTATACTAAAAAAGTGTGAAGATTCTGCCCAGCCGGATAGGCAATGTATTCAATCTCTACTAGTGTTTATATAACTATAAAGAGGTAGATATTCTGGATTTTCACAGGGATGTGGGGTAGGAAAGAGGAGTGGGGGAAAGTTCAAATAACAAAGAATTGAAAGAATTGCTCTGCCCCAAATACCTACTAAATTTTTTGCTAGGGATATCAATTACAAAATTTTTGGTTTTGATTTCAAATTGCCCTCCTTATATTAATAAATGTCAGTCAACAAAAGATTGCATAAATAATTTATGACACAGTAATGCAACACAATTATATCTGATGTAAATTTAGTTTACCCTAATTCAACTATATAGCTTCAGTCCCACAAATTTCTCTATTATGCTGGTTCATTATATTTCATGTGTGATATAGGCTAGGTCTCAGTCCAATTCAGGTGACATTTATTCCATTACTGACTCCTCTGCTTCATACTGCATATAAACACCTTGAAAGAGAATTGACCTACCTTAACTATCAAATCAATCAGGAAATCATTCTCCCATTCCAATGTGGGAACATTTCCCATTCCCCACTTTCTCTGACTGACATCATCTCATGTTTTAAGATCAGCTCAAAAGATACCTCCTTCAGGAATTTTTTTCCTGCTTTACCTGTTGCTCAGTTCTGAGTACTACCATAGCAATATGCTCCTCTCTCCATAAGCAAGCCTACCAGACATAAGATTGCTCTTTACCTGCCTGCCTCCCAAACTAAACCATAAGCCCTTCTAGGGCAACAACTAGACCTTATCTATCCGTCTTTGTATCCCCAAAACTTAGTACAGTGCCCGGTGCCTAGCAGGCATTTATAATAAATGATTGTAGAATGAATGGAGATAGAGCTATCTCCAAGTTAAGCAAAGAAATATGTCAAGTTTTAAAACGTACTTAGCTTTTTACCTAAATCCCTAGAAAACACCTGCATGAGTTAGGGTAAAGCAAGAAATGGAGCTAAAAGGCTTGTAGATGGAGAAATCTCCACTTGATTTTTTGAAGTATATGCTGAGAAGTGCCAATATATGGTTCTCGATGCAATCCTGATCACAGACAGGGGTAAGGACAAGACTTCTTGTGATCTCTTTCAAACTCAAGACCCCAGATCTCCCTTAATCGGTGAGGTATCACTTTGGGGAACCCAGGTATCCCACACGAGGATCTTACCTTCCCGTTTGTGGGAGGCTCCTGGATGTAGATATTGCTCATGCTGGTCAATGATCAGACTCTGCTCGTAATTGGGGATGAGAGAGGACAGCCGATCACTAAAGCTATCCACCTATCAGCACACGCTTCCTTAAGTCGGGTGGTCGCGGAAAGCGCCAGTATGTCAATAACCGCCAGACAGCGACACCAAACACTATCTTTCCCCAAAACTAGTCCCCACGGACGCCGCCATGTTGCTCCCGGACGGGAGCACCGCTAACCCCGAGAAGGGGGATTCCAATGGCCTACAGAGAACGAGAAAAAAATTAGTAAGCTCCTATAAACCATTTAAATTTGTATCGCAACTTTAAAAATAACGATTCCTAAGTCTTGGCGTTGTTTACTTCACTCCATGCGTGTGCAGCTCTCACTCACTCCCCTAAACTGGCAGCAATGGTTCCGACCATATGTGTTCTGCACTATCACTCCCCTGGAAATTGCACCCGCTGCTACTTGGTTCCGCTTTCGCTAAAGGCTCAGAAGGCCTTCCCGGACTCTCACCCAGGTCCCGCGGCGCTGGTGGGAAGAAGAGACCACCCTCGCTGTGCGTTGTCTTCGTGGCCGGTGGGAAGCGAGCGTGCTCTCGAAAATCTAGGGCTCCTGCGACCCCTCTTACCAGCGCCATGGCAGTCCCAGGTGAAGACCAACGGCAGGGCTCCTGGGTCTGAACGAGGAAAGGGGGCGGGTGGGGTAGAGTGGGGTGCTCTGCGATACAGAGTATCGCCTGTGGGGATGAAGGCGGAAGCGTTGAAATTAACAGGTTTTTGTTGTTTTTTTGGCTTACGAGAAAAAGTTTACACTCCAAAAATAAACTCAGAAGGAAAGAAAGAAACTATCTCCCCCGCCCAGCCAAGCACCAGCTGCGCTGGATGGATTACAGGATAAGTGCAGGGGAGCGGGAGGCTGTAACTGTAGGCCTAGGGGGCGGGTGGCCGAGCAAAACGGACCTTACTTTGAATGCTTGAAAATAAGATTTGAGTTGGGAACACTTGGCATACCCAGCTAACCAGAGGCATTGTTTGTAGTGGCAGTCGCTGGGACCCCACTTCTCTCTCTTCCTGTTGTGTGTGGTTGCTTTGTGGCCCTGCACAGGTCGTTTTGTCCTTCTGGGCCTCCGTTTCTGCATCTGTAAAAGATGTGTTGATTTATGTCTGTAGTTCTTTCCAGCTCTCAGATTCTGTGTGCAGTGGGTAGCGACCTAAAAAACAACAACACAAAACGATGGGCCCTGCAAAATCAGTGCTTCACCGATTTTCCATTCACAACTTCCAACTTATTTGGAAGTTCTAGTAGGGCAGGGCATCTCCATAAACCACTTTTGCCACGATGTGTCCAGCAGAAAACTATTTTGAAAAATGTACCCCTCCACACACACGCCACTTGGATAGTCAGAGTGCACTTTAGCACAGAAAAGACCCTGAGAAGTGCTGTGATGCTAAAGCACTAACTTTGTTTTATCCTACCCTTCCCAGTGCTATTCGACCACGTTTGTTCTGTGGCAGCCTTTTCTGAACCATATTTTACAGATAGCTGTTATGGGAAGGTTGTGCTTTTCTACCAACTTCAGTTTGGGGGAGATCACAGGGAGAATTGTGAGAGAGCAAAGATACACTCATTCATACACATGGAAATGTTTGTTACTGCCTGCTGCGTGCTAGGCACTGTGCCAGGCTTTAGGAATACAGTAGCGAGCAAGACAGTTGCTCTTCACACAGTACTTATAATTTAGCGGTAAAGAGTGAAAAAGTACCAGAAAGTCAGACAAACGTATAGCAGGGAAACTACAATACCTTCAGGAGCACATAATAAGGACACCTAATAGGAAGCAGGAGGGGACTGAAGGACTTTCCAGAGGACGTGGCATTTAGGATGAGACCTGAGGAATTGCAGGAGGGTTGGAGTGGTAGAAGGGGAAGATACAGCCAGAGGGACTGGTGTGTAAAATGGAAGAGGAAAGGAAACGTGTGAGAAGAGGAAATAAAAGATGTTTGCTATGAATGGAACTAAGAATATAAATGGGAGAGAAGTGAGAAATTCACTAGAGAGGTAGTAACAATAGCTAATATTTGTTAAGCATTTACCATGCGTCAGATTTGTCCGACATTGTGTTACTCATTGCTCATGTATCTTATCTTATTTAATGTTCATGCCCACACTGTGAGGTAGCTATTAATATTTCTGTTTTACAGATGAGGCTACTAAGGGACAGAGAAATCAAGTAACATTTCTACTATGAGACAGCTTAGTAAGTGACAGCTCAGTCTGGTTCCTTTAGACCCCGTGTGCTTACTCATTTTGCCATGTTATAGTATAATTTACAAGGATAGTTTCCAGCTCTTAAAGGGCTTTGTAAGCCATGACAGTTTGGATATTTCCTAGCGACCATAGGAAGCGATTTAAGGGTTTTTAAACAGGGTCACATTTTGGAAAGATCCTTCTGGCTGCACAGTAGATTGGAGGGGAGCTAGTTTGGAAGCACAGTCACCCGTTAGAGGTAATTGTGGTGTGTTATGATGATGCCTCAGGCATGGTCTCAGCAGGAAAGAAGCAGATTGGAGATATATTTTTGATGGTAGAATAACTAGGAATCAGTGATTGATTCAATGTAGGTAGGTAAGAGAGGAAATGAGGTTTCACTGTTAGGCGATTGGGTGGGGGCTATTTACTCATTAATACAGGGAATACCTGAGAAGGAGTAGACTTTAGGGGGATGATGACGACTTCACTTTGGGGCTTGTGTTGAGGTGGAGTCAGACATAGGAATGGAAATATCTAATAATAGAGTTAAAATTTGTAGCTTAGGAAAGAAGCCAGAGTCAAAGACAACAATTTGATGTCATCCACATATGTCATAGGAATTTAAGGCCATGGGAGTGGATACCTTCGCTCAGGTGGAGTGTGTAGAGCGTAAAGGGAAGGTCTGTGGCTGAGGCCTGGAGAGCATCAACATGTAAGGGGCCATCAGAGAAAGGCCAGTCTGCACAGTAGCTTGCCCGGGCCTGCCAATAGGCCAAGTCAGCCCTGGTGAGCTTCGCATTGCACAGCGCATCCAAAGCTGACCTGCTGTCATTGTTGATTTCATCACTTACACAAGCAGTTTTGAACACCTACACGTTACAGGCATTCTGGGGGACACAATGGCACAGCCTATGCCCTCATAAAATCTTGTCTAGTAATGAAAATGTGCTGCTGAAGAAAGAGGGCAGAAGTGATTTTTTTTTATGTCCTTATTGAAATTCTCTTAAACTTAGGCCAGTATTATAGATATGTTAACCCTCTTTCAATCCAGAATGCTTCAAAGTATAATCATCTTAAATTGTGCCATTAAGCTAGATTAGGTAAGACATAGATAAACTGTTGAAACCCAGCAAAAATTGAGATAATAGTCGTGACAGCACTGTAAAGGTATAATGCAAGTGCCATTAGAAAATACAGATACAGAAAGTGTTATGGTAATTTCTTGGATGATTGATCCAGAGAGTGTATTAAAAGAAAATAGGACCCCATCAGAAACCTTCTGAGATAATCATCAAGAAGGACAAGTATTATGGTATGCTTTTTTATTTTTAGGTGTAATGCTCATATGGATTCGGCATGTCATTTCTTGGGTATTTGTGCTAGTGACTATTAGGAATGGCTGTAAAGTAACGAAGCTGCTTTCCACAAATGAAAAATCAGCCTCGTCTATTTCAGCTGTCTTCCCCACAGCATTGTGTATAAGCTTACGCCATTATGTAGGTGACAATGAAGTATGTACCCTCTTAGTAAGGGAAATCATAGACTCTTAGTTATTATTAAAGAAATTACATTTAAACACGGGTGTCAGCGAAGTTTACTTTCTTTTCAAAGCTGCTTTTCCCGTTCACAGCTGAAATTGGTTCTGCCATTCATTTTAATGATTCCCCATTCCCCAGGAACAGTTGACCTGGCACAGGGGCAGTGTATGTTACTGATGTGGTTGACACAAAAACCCTTTCTTTTTTTTTCTCTCCTTCAAACAAATCTATATAACCAAGATGGGGTTTTCTATAGCCAAATTAACTTTACATCTGGTGTATCGAAGTGAGTCAAATTCTTAAGCATCTTAGTAATAGGAGAATTCTAAATTACGCTACATCCAATTTCTCCTCTTAATTAAACGTTACTACACATAATTTCTTTCTCTCTAGTCTATGCTGCACATTGCTGCTGAAATAATTGTCCTAAATCATGTATCTGATCCTGTCATTCCTGGGAGGCAGGAACTTCGTTCTTGACTCTTATCTGTGACTTTTGTATTTCTTGTCAAGCGACTTAACCCTTCTGAGGCTCAGTTTCCTTGTCTCTGTGAAGATGGAGTAGATGATTAAGCCTTCTTTCATTTCTAAACTGTTGTAACTCCAAAGCTCTCCATCTCCGCAAGAGTGAAGTGCACCCTCCGAAGCATGGCCAAGTCACTGTCACTCCCGTTTCCCCCCACCACTCTCGTGCATTCTGCAGTCTCCAGACGTGGCCAGCGGTTCCCAGAGCCTCTCCTGTGCCTTTCCGCCTACACACTTTTGTCATCGTTCTCCCTCCTCTACTGGCATTTTCTGCCTTTGGGAGGCATTCCTGATCTGTCAGCTGAACGTCTTGCCTGCCAGCTCTTCCTGCGTGTTAACAGAGCTGTGTGTCTTTTATACTGGCACAGTCTAGCAGGTATTGCAGCCGTGGGTACATTATCCTAGATAACCTCATATATTGTGGTTTCCTTTAATGTAGGAACTTTATTCATCTTTATGGCTTCTGTCACATCATTTCAAAGTTATGCACATAATCGGTAAATAATATTTAGGGGGTTGATCACTAGAATTGCTGCTGAGCAGAATCTAATAGTCAAGTAAACAGACTAAACGACACAATCTTGATTCTGTTTCATTAGTTAATAAACGTTCTTAAACTGGTAATACCTATAGCGTTTTTTCTTCACAGGTTATTTGCATTTTCTGAGGCCAGTGGACGAAAGCATTTTATACATTTATTTAAATGTTAGCTCTTTCATGTCAGTAGTTTAAAATAAGCAACTCTGATTGAGTTACTTCATTCCTGATTTGTTGGGTTTTATATAGTAGGGATAATTCCCCTGTGTTGGTACTGCGAGTTGCAAATACATTTTTCAAGTTTTCTTATGTCTTGAGTTTGCTTTTGGCAGTTTTTGTCATTCAGATTTTTTTATGTAGTCAAATTTATGTTTTTATTCAATGGCTTTTGGATTATTGGTCATAATTATAAAGGAACATTTCAAGGGAGGCAGGCTCTATGGGTCTGAATGGCCCTAGCAAACTTTAGAGACAAGTGGAAAAAAGCACAGCGTTGGAGCAAGGGCCTCACAATACAGCCTTCCTACTCAGTTTGACGTGAATTTCAAGTATGTACAATTGTATTGGCAGAGTTCTTATTCTAAACAGCAAAAACTGGTGAGTTAATTTAAGCAGAAAAGGAAAGCTATCAGGGAGCTCGCAGAGTTTAAGCCAAGCCTGGATAATAAGGCTCAGAAGGTGGATGAGACCGAGGGCACGTGGAGCTGAGACCCTACACAGGCCCAGACTGGTCAGGACCGCTGCTGCCAGTACCATCACTGCCACTCGATGCAGGATCCTGACAGCACAATGAATCCACTGTCCCCACTTCATGGTGTCCCTTGTCTCAGATTTATTGTGGCACTGCATCAGATTCGAAGTCCCAGGTAGAAGCATTTAGTTGGCCAGGGAATCATGAAAATTATAGGCAAATGAAGCTTGAAATCCTAATTTTAGCCAAAGGCTGCTGAGGAAATAGCTGCTATGGAGTTACTTTATTTAGCATTCTTGTTATAGTTCCCCTTCTATGTTAAAGGTGACCTGCTCTGAAAAACTTTCATATTTTGTTCATTCTAAAAATATGAGATAGTTGAATGATGAGTTTTATCAGTGTCTTTAGTCATAACTGAGTTAATTCCTAGTACATGCTGAGATGAGAGCATTTTGGATCTTTCCTTTAGTTCGTTGTAGGAATGGTAATGGTGCTGGTAGCACAGTTTTATTTAGTATTTTTCAGCGTCTACAGTTTCTATGGAAACAGACCTAACATTGACCTGGATTCTCTGAGCTTTTTTTCTCAACATGCAATTATTTCATATTGAAAGAGCCTCAGATTTTATTATTAATCCAATTTTATTCCATAGTTCTGCTTAAGGCAGTAAAACCCACACTATTGATGAGAAGAAATGAGATTGGGGACAACACTCAAAAACCCCCTCAGTGATGCATAAAAAAATAATAGGGACCTGATAAAAACATTAGTTTAATTTTACATGTTAGTTGGTTAAAAGATACATAAATACTACAATAAATAGGGCACTATGTCTTTTGAAAGACCTGAAGTTTGCTGTGGAAGTGGAGTTCAGAATTGCTTTGCGAGTTGTTCTGAAGTAATGGTGGGAAGGTGATGGTTGAAATCAGATGGAAAGTTGTCACACCAGAAGTGGATGGACTGCGCTCACAACGCACGTGGTGAACTCGGGGTGCTGGAAATGCTTTGAGGTGCGTGTGTGTGTGTGTGTGCGCACGCGCGCGCGCGCGCGCGCTGTATATTCCTGAGGCTCAGAGCAACTGGGTGAAGCTTTCTGTGTTCACCTAGTGTTTTTCTTGGACAAAAGTCACAGTATGCTCAAATTGTTCTCTTATATCAGTTGCAGTGAAACAAATTTATGTTTTTACAACAAGCATAGCACAACTGTTTCTACTAGAACAACTCAGTGATGTATATTTCAAAGCAAAATTGGGATTGGAATGACTAATGTTTTGACTTCATAACATTAAAGAAGTGGTTTGAAAATGATCTTTCTTTTAAAATTAGCACTGTTTTACATTTGTACTATATGCACTTTATTATTAAATTGGGATAATATCTCCATTTGAAGGGTTTAAGAGTTAGATACCTTTTGTTAAGGAAATAGAGTGATACTGCGCCCTCTGATTGGTTGATTGCAGCCTTTATCTGAGGTTAAATCACTTTCAGCTATACACACAAACACACACACACACACACACACACACACACACACAGTGGAATATTATCAGCCATAAGAAGGAATGACATTCTGACATGTGCTACAATATTGAAAATATTATGCTAAGTAAAATAAGCTAGACATAAAAGGGCAAATATTGTGTGATTTCTAGGTATTTGAGATACCTACACTAGGTAAATTCATAGAGACAGAAAGTAGAATAGAGATTACCAGGGGCTGGAGGAAGGGGCAGTTATTGTTTAATGCGTACAGTTACTATTTGGGATGATGACAAAGTTTTGGAAATACTCGACATAGAGGTGATGTTGTACAACATTGTAAATGTACTTAATGCCACTGAGTTGTACACTTAAAAATGGTTAAGATGGTAACTTTCATGTTTTGTATATTTTGTCATCATAAAATCAGTTTTAATTTATTCCATCTGTTATTTACATCTTCAGTATTACCTGCATGTACCAGTAATTATGCAGCGATGCTGTAACTCTAATTTCTAAACATTGATCAGACTGAATATGTGACTGACTAGTTTGTTTTCTCTTGTCAAAATTCAAGTGCTAAATTGGTATTTTTTTTTTTTTACAATACCTAGCAATTAAAGTATTTTTCTGGAATTTCACCAGTTTCTTTAAGAGAGTCAGTTTTTTTCTTCTAAGGGAAAGCAGAAAAAATGTGTTAACCTGTGTTCACATATATACCAAGTAAATTAATTATTTTACATTTGAGAGACAGGCTGAAGTACCTTGGAATTTCTTCCATAGTGTTGTAGAATCCTGGGATGGTTAAGCTCTTGATTATAATATTGTGTTTCTTATATTAGAGATAAACGTGTTCTTACTTTAAGAAAAGTAAAAAAAAAAAAAAAAGAAGTTTGTCAAAGGAAGTAATTTAGGTAAATTGGCTTTCCATTAATTTCTAATAATTATAATAATTGAATAGTGTTACTAAGCTGGGTCAAGGTGATTTTTTTTTTAAGAAATAAATTCTACACGTGGTTTTCTTAGCTTTTTCATGTGATGAAATTTGTATGTTTTTACTTGTTTATATGTCTCCTAAAATGTTATCCAATTGTATTTTAGGTTGCAACAAGGATAGTGTCCGAGCAGGCTGTAAAAAATGTGGCTACCGTAAGTACATTAAAAAAATATCATTTCTTCATTGGGAAATGTAGTTTAGCATCCTGATTTCAGGGCCCTGGGTCTAGTCCTGTAGCCTTGTTATTTAGCTCAGCTTTGCAGATGATTCAGAAATTCCTCTGTCAGCACTAAACATTCACTTTTCTTTCCTGCTATGAGCTCAGTGACAGGTGGCATATAGTTGACAACTAGCAGAGATGTCAAAAAGTACAAGTGGAGTAAAAGACTTAGGAGCCTAGAGAAAGTATGTTCCCTGCAAAAGTACATATATACTTGTTCTTTATCCTTCTCGATACTAGGTGAAGAGGGAAAAGCAATGAAAACTTCATATGAAGGGTTTTCCTGTTTATTGAGTTTACTCTTTATAAGGGTGAATTGGTCCCAGAATTTCTGCTCACTGACAAAAACTTGATTTAAACACTCATTACTCTCCTTTATGTTTAATGGAGTGAAAAAGTAAACTTTAGCCTGTGCACGTATATACTCTAAATTTGTAAGTATGTATGATAAACAAATACACCTCGAGTTAAGTGTAACCATTCCTAAGGTTTTGATAACAGCTATAACAAGTATTATTCACTGTTTCCTAAATTGGTTGGAGACAATGCAAATGAACCTGGATTGTTGTTAATATAATACTCCAATGCACAGAAGAGTTACTTTTTAACAAAATAAAGGTGATTTAAAAAAATTTTCCATGCAAGAACATGTGACAAAAAAGCACTCTGGCTGTAGATCTCATTAGAAGGGCTCCAAATAAAAGCATGTTGGGAGAACCAAGTCACATGCCACCCAGCAAAGGCTGACACCTGGCTCAAGGGAAGCTTATCAGCTAGCAAAGTGGGTGCATAAGTCCACATATTCTTCATGCAAATAAAAACTCCTTAAGACTGTAGGAAAGCAATTAAAATCGTTTTTTGGAAATAGAATATTTGTTGATCTAGTTTCCTCATTGCTGTTTTATTTTAGACAGTAATAGAAGCATCTGTAGTAATTAGAATTATTGCATTCAAGAAATGGGCTGTCCTATTTTTTTTTTTTTTTTTTTTTTTTTTAAGCTGAGCCATCCTGCCACCTGTTGGCAGCTCACGGGCAGCCCAGCTCGGGCCAGGAATCAAACCGCTGTTGCTCAGAGCTTGCACTCTTGAGTGAGCTCTTAACCAACTGAGCCACTTGGCTGGCCCCAATTAGAATTATTTTAGAGAAGCCAAATAAAGATATAGTTTTGATAGTCTTTCCAAGTTTAGCTCATTCTGCTTTATTATTTAGATCTTTGATTTTAGTGATTAAGTTATTAAACAATTTCTAATTTGTCTCCTGTGGAAAATTTTCGTAGTATTTTCTTTTGGGTTAAATTTACATCTTAGAGCTGTTGGAGATGAAGGTCTTCTCGATTTCTACATCTTTATGATAGAAACTACAGTTTTTAAATTATCTGTTATTTGTAAAGGTAAGAGAAAGGTCAACAAAACTCTGAATTGTTTTTAATGCCTAAAAATGTGGATATCATCAATCAGTTACAAAAGAGTGTTGTCTATTGTCAAAATAGTGGTTTAGATTCTACAATTTTTAAAATGTTAATACTTGATTGTAAAATATTTTGTCAGTGTGTTTCAGTAGTGGTTATATTGTTGCTTTTAAAAGTTTCAAGTTAAGGATGGGTGTGGTACTAAACATGGATATCACTTTTTTATGGCAGAGTTTCCTCAGGAAATTTAGAAGAATGTTTTTTTTTTCCTTTTCTTTTTTCTTTCTTTTTTTTTTGTCGCTACCAATTTATACCTTTTAATGCCTTCACCATTTTCACCCAACCTCCCAAACCCTCTTCCATCTGGCAAGCATCAGTTTGTTCTCTGTATCTAGGAGTCTGTTGCTGTTTGTTTGTTTGTTTGTTTGTTTGTTTGTTTGTTTGTTTGTTTGTTTAGATTCCACATATAAGTGAGATCATAGGTATTTGTCTTTCTCTGTCTGACTTATTTCGTTTCACATAATACCCTCTAGGTCGACCCATCCATAATGTCATAAATGGCAAGACTTCATTCTTTTTTTATGTCTGAGTAATATTCCATTGTATTAATATATATGTACAACATCTTTATCCAATTGTTTATCGATGAACACTTAGGTTGCCTCCATATCTTGGCTATTGTAAATAATGCTGCAATGAACATAGGTGTGCATATATCTTTTCAAATTAGTGTTTTGAATTTCTTCCGATAAATACTCAGAAGTGGAATTGCTGGGTCATATGGTAGTCTTTTTTTTTTTTGAGGAACATCTATACTGTTCTCCATAGTGGTTGCACCAGTTTGTAATCCCACCAACAGTACATGAGGTTTTTCTCCATATCCTCACCAACCCTTGTTGTTTGTTGATTTATTGATGGTAGCCATTCTGACAGGTGTCAGGTAATATATCTCATTGTGGTTTTCATTTGCATTTCTCTGATGATTAGTGATGTTGAGCATCTTTTCATATGTCTATTGCCATTTGTATGTCCTCTTTGGAGAAGTGTCTGTTCAGGTCGTTTGCCCTTTTTTTTAATTGAATTGTTTGGGTTTTTTGGTGTTGAGTTGTATGAGTTCTTTATAAATTTTGGATATTAACCTCTTATCAGATGTATCATGGCAAATATCTTCTCCCATTCAGTCTTTTCATTTTGTTGATGGTTTCCTTTACTGTGCAAAAACTTTTTAGTTTGATGTAGTCCCATTTGTTTATTTTTTCTTTTGTTTCCCTTGCCCAAGGAGACATATCAGAAAAAATATTACTAAAAATAATGTCAGACAGCTACTGCCTATGTTTTCTTCTAGGCATTTTATGGTTTGGGGTCTTACTTTTAAGTCTATAACCCATTTTGAATTTATTCTTGTATATGGAGTAAGATGGTGGACCAGTTTCACTTTTTTGCATGTATCTGCCCAGTTTCCCAGCACCATTTAGAGACTGTCTTTATCCCATTGTATATTTTTGCCTCCTTTGTCATAGATTAGATGACCTTATAGGCATGGGTTTATTTCTGGGTTCTATATTCTGTTCTGTTGATCTGTGTGCCTCCCTTTTTACCAATACCATGCTGTTTTGATTACTATGGACTTTTAGTATAGTTTGATTTCAGGTAGTATCATACCTCCAACTTTATTCTTTCTCAAGATTGCCGTGGATATTTAGGGTCTTTTATGGTTCCATATAAATTGTAGGATTATTTGTTCTAGTTCTATGAAAAATGCCACTGCTATTTTCATAGGGGTACATTGAATCTGTAGATTGCTTTGAGTAGTATGTATGTTAACGATGTTAATCCTTTCTATCCATGAGCATGGTACAAGCTTCCATTTATTTGAATCTTCTTCAGTTTCTTTCTTCAGTGTCTTATAATTTTCCAAGTACAGGTCTTTTACCTCCTTGGTTAAATTTATCCCTAGGTATTTTGTTATATTTTTTTATGCAATTGTACATGTGCTTTTTTTTTTAATTTTTCTTTCTGATAGTTCATTATTGGTGTATAAAAATGCAAGTGATTTCTGAGTGTTGATTCTGCATTTTTCTACTTTACTGAATTCATTTATCAGTTCCAGTAGTGTTAAAATTAGAAACCTTTATTTTCCTCAATATAAAACTAATAAATTAATGTTTCAAAAGAAAATATACCATGGTGAAAGCTGTAAATCACACGAGTGTTCACCACAGGATTTATGATTTACCAATCACATACACCACCACTTTGGAAAAAAGATGAACCTTTTAAAACAGTTTATAAACCCAACATAGCAAAGAGAGTATACATCTCCATATTGCACTTCCTTATGTACAAGAATAAAACAGTAAAATCAAGTGTCTTGCACATACTAAGAACAGCACAAATGTGTCACAATTAAACTTCAAGCAGAAGCTGATATGAGGAGTATTAAAAATGTAGAAATGTAATACATGTATATACAGAATACTGAGACTATATTAACAAACTATGCTATAATAAAATACCGTACTACTTTAAACATTTAACATAATTGTATTTATTAATACTGGCCTTTGGTTCTAAACTGGTTGACCAATTTTAAGCTTACATAGTTTCTTAAGCTTTCACGTTTTTCGACACAAGTAAATGAGTAGAAAAGCACTAAACCTCTGGTTCACCTCAGTTCCCTTAGGTCATCAAAAACTAGTCACAGAAATAGTTCTTGTATTCAACCTGAATGTGCCATAGTTCTATTAGTTTTTTTGATAGACTCTTTAGGGTTCTCTCTCTATGTAGTATCACGTCATCTGCAAATAATGGCAGTTTTACTTTTTCCTTTCCAATTTGAATGCCTTTTATTTCTTGTCTGATTGCTGTAGCTAGTAAGAAGAATGGTTATTTCTACAATCAGTTTTTATTTGATTTTTTGAAAATAGCAACTTCTGAATATTAAAAGCTACAAGGACACTAAGCCTTTGTACATGGAACAAATGTCTCAAATAATTATGATAGTTCTTAGAAAATATGCTCAAAAGAAGTTCAGTACAATAGACCCTAGTTGAGCATTTGGTCACAGCAGCAGGAAATAAAAACATACCTAAATACCTTTAACGTTTTATTTAACTTGAAATGCTAGTCTATTGCTATACAGTCGTGACCTTTTCTTTGCCTATGGGTCTGCTAATTGGTGTTACACGTAGTCTTTTGAGTACAAATCATATCCAAAATGCATTTTCTACTTTTATAGTTTGTTTCTTCATAGATGGAGAAGCTGTTAAGATACTTGTAAAGAAATCTGAATGCAAAATCCTTCCATCTTTAGTTGTCAACTAGGGGTGATACTGCCTTCCAGAAATCTGTGGAGGTTTTCTTTAGTTGTCCATAACGGGGAGGAGAGAGCATTATGACATGTAGTATGTAGGGTCCAGGGAGTGTGAACATCCTGCAATGTGTATGTCACTCTTGGGCAATGAAAACTGCCTGTCCTCAAATGCCAATGACATCCCCTTTGAGAAACTGGTACCTTTTCTCA